CACGATTACAATTAATGAAGCCTTAGTGAAAACACCAACGACAACAACACTTACACACCTCAGAGTTTATTACAGGACTGCACCCTCAAAACACACACACACACACACACACACACACACACACACACACACACGATTAAATGTAAAGAGTCTGTAGAGAAGGCGGTGAGGGACAACGCTCCTTCCAGGTGCATTGTGGGTAGATCAGTGTGTGTATGGCAGTGCGCGCTGTCGCAGGACGTCCCACAGCAGCATGCTGAGAGTGGTGTGTGGAGCCAGACGCACAAACACCGGCGTCATGCCCTTATAAAGACCCAGAACACCTTCAGCCGCACACACCTTCAGCAGACAGTCCACGAACCCGCAGTAGAGGCGGCCCTGAGGAGCACACACACACACATGAGGAGAGCTCACAGTGCATTATAACAGCTCATAGTGTGCATTATAACAGCTCATAGTGTACATTATAACAGCTCATAGTGTACATTATAACAGCTCATAGTGTACATTATAACAGCTCATAGTGTACATTATAACAGCTCATAGTGTGCATTATAACAGCTCATAGTGTGCATTATAACAGCTCATAGTGCGCATTATAACAGCTCATAGTGCGCATTATGACAGCTCATAGAGTGCATTATAACAGCTCATAGTGCGCATTATAACAGCTCACAGTGCATTATAACAGCTCTTAGTGCGCATTATGACAGTTCATAGTGCGCATTATAACAGCTCATAGTGCGCATTATAACAGCTCATAGTGTGCATTATAACAGCTCATAGTGTGCATTATAACAGCTCACAGTGCATTATAACAGCTCATAGTGTGCATTATAACAGCTCATAGTGTGCATTATAACAGCTCACAGTGCATTATAACAGCTCATAGTGCGCATTATGACAGTTCATAGTGCGCATTATGACAGTTCATAGTGCGCATTATAACAGCTCATAGTGTGCATTATAACAGCTCATAGTGTGCATTATAACAGCTCATAGTGTGCATTATAACAGCTCATAGTGTACATTATAACAGCTCATAGTGCACATTATAACAGCTCATAGTGTGCATTATAACAGCTCATAGTGCGCATTATAACAGCTCATAGTGTGCATTATAACAGCTCATAGTGTGCATTATAACAGCTCATAGTGCGCATTATAACAGCTCATAGTGTGCATTATAACAGCTCATAGTGCGCATTATAACAGCTCATAGTGTGCATTATAACAGCTCATAGTGTGCATTATAACAGCTCATAGTGCGCATTATAACAGCTCATAGTGTGCATTATAACAGCTCATAGTGCGCATTATAACAGCTCATAGTGTGCATTATAACAGCTCATAGTGCATTATAACAGCTCATAGTGTGCATTAAAACAGCTCATAGTGTGCATTATAACAGCTCATAGTGCGCATTATAACAGCTCATAGTGTGCATTATAACAGCTCATAGTGCGCATTTTAACAGCTCATAGTGCGCATTATAACAGCTCACAGTGCATTATAACAGCTCTTTAGTGCGCATTATAACAGCTCATAGTGCGCATAATAACAGCTCATAGTGCGCATTATAACAGCTCATAGTGTACATTATAACAGCTCATAGTGTGCATTATAACAGCTCATAGTGCGCATTTTAACAGCTCATAGTGTGCATTATAACAGCTCATAGTGCGCATTATAACAGCTCACAGTGCATTATAACAGCTCTTTAGTGCGCATAATAACAGCTCATAGTGCGCATAATAACAGCTCATAGTGCGCATTATAACAGCTCATAGTGTGCATTATAACAGCTCATAGTGTGCATTATAACAGCTCATAGTGTGCATTATAACAGCTCATAGTGTGCATTTTAACAGCTCATAGTGTGCATTATAACAGCTCATAGTGTGCATTATAACAGCTCATAGTGTGCATTATAACAGCTCATAGTGTGCATTATAACAGCTCATAGTGTGCATTATAACAGCTCATAGTGTGCATTATAACAGCTCATAGTGTGCATTATAACAGCTCATAGTGTGCATTATAACAGCTCATAGTGTGCATTATAACAGCTCATAGTGCGCATTATAACAGCTCATAGTGCGCATTATAACAGCTCATAGTGTGCATTATAACAGCTCATAGTGTGCATTATAACAGCTCATAGTGCGCATTATAACAGCTCATAGTGTGCATTATAACAGCTCATAGTGCGCATTATAACAGCTCATAGTGTGCATTATAACAGCTCATAGTGTGCATTATAACAGCTCATAGTGTGCATTATAACAGCTCATAGTGCGCATTATAACAGCTCATAGTGCGCATTATAACAGCTCATAGTGTGCATTATAACAGCTCATAGTGTGCATTATAACAGCTCATAGTGCGCATTATAACAGCTCATAGTGCGCATTATAACAGCTCATAGTGCGCATTATGACAGCTCATAGTGTGCATTATAACAGCTCATAGTGTGCATTATGACAGCTCATAGTGTGCATTATAACAGCTCATAGTGCGCATTATAACAGCTCATAGTGCGCATTATAACAGCTCATAGTGCGCATTATAACAGCTCATAGTGTGTATTATAACAGCTCATAGTGTGCATTATAACAGCTCATAGTGCGCATTATAACAGCTCATAGTGTGCATTATAACAGCTCATAGTGCGCATTATAACAGCTCATAGTGTGTATTATAACAGCTCATAGTGCATTATAACAGCTCATAGTGTGCATTATGACAGCTCATAGTGTGCATTATAACAGCTCATAGTGCGCATTATAACAGCTCATAGTGCATTATAACAGCTCATAGTGCGCATTATAACAGCTCATAGTGTGTATTATAACAGCTCATAGTGTGCATTATAACAGCTCATAGTGTGCATTATAACAGCTCATAGTGCGCATTATAACAGCTCATAGTGTGCATTATAACAGCTCATAGTGTGCATTATAACAGCTCATAGTGCGCATTATAACAGCTCATAGTGTGCATTATAACAGCTCATAGTGTGCATTATAACAGCTCATAGTGTGCATTATAACAGCTCATAGTGTGCATTATAACAGCTCATAGTGCGCATTATAACAGCTCATAGTGTGCATTATAACAGCTCTTTAGTGCGCATTATAACAGCTCATAGTGCGCATAATAACAGCTCATAGTGCGCATTATAACAGCTCATAGTGTGCATTATAACAGCTCATAGTGTGCATTATAACAGCTCATAGTGTGCATTATAACAGCTCATAGTGCATTTTAACAGCTCATAGTGTGCATTATAACAGCTCATAGTGTGCATTATAACAGCTCATAGTGCGCATTATAACAGCTCATAGTGCGCATTATAACAGCTCATAGTGTGCATTATAACAGCTCAAAGTGCGCATTATAACAGCTCATAGTGTGCATTATAACAGCTCATAGTGTGCATTATAACAGCTCATAGTGTGCATTATAACAGCTCATAGTGCGCATTATAACAGCTCATAGTGCGCATTATAACAGCTCATAGTGTGCATTATAACAGCTCATAGTGTGCATTATAACAGCTCATAGTGCGCATTATAACAGCTCATAGTGCGCATTATAACAGCTCATAGTGCGCATTATGACAGCTCATAGTGTGCATTATAACAGCTCATAGTGTGCATTATGACAGCTCATAGTGTGCATTATAACAGCTCATAGTGCGCATTATAACAGCTCATAGTGCATTATAACAGCTCATAGTGCGCATTATAACAGCTCATAGTGTGTATTATAACAGCTCATAGTGTGCATTATAACAGCTCATAGTGCGCATTATAACAGCTCATAGTGTGCATTATAACAGCTCATAGTGCGCATTATAACAGCTCATAGTGTGTATTATAACAGCTCATAGTGCATTATAACAGCTCATAGTGTGCATTATGACAGCTCATAGTGTGCATTATAACAGCTCATAGTGCGCATTATAACAGCTCATAGTGCATTATAACAGCTCATAGTGCGCATTATAACAGCTCATAGTGTGTATTATAACAGCTCATAGTGTGCATTATAACAGCTCATAGTGTGCATTATAACAGCTCATAGTGCGCATTATAACAGCTCATAGTGTGCATTATAACAGCTCATAGTGTGCATTATAACAGCTCATAGTGCGCATTATAACAGCTCATAGTGTGCATTATAACAGCTCATAGTGTGCATTATAACAGCTCATAGTGTGCATTATAACAGCTCATAGTGTGCATTATAACAGCTCATAGTGCGCATTATAACAGCTCATAGTGTGCATTATAACAGCTCATAGTGCGCATTATAACAGCTCATAGTGTGCATTATAACAGCTCATAGTGCATTATAACAGCTCATAGTGTGCATTATAACAGCTCATAGTGTGCATTATAACAGCTCATAGTGTGCATTATAACAGCTCATAGTGCGCATTATGACAGCTCATAGTGCGCATTATAACAGCTCATAGTGCGCATTATAACAGCTCCTATATTCAGATATACTCAGATCCTGCAGATGAGCCTGACACTAGTGTGTTAATAACTTTGAGATGGTGTTGATGTTATTGTGTGTTTTTCTGCAATATGTTTATATTGTCTATATAGTTTTTTTCTCTCTCTTCTTTATTATCTGTATATTTGATATTTATGGTATTTGTGTTATGAAGTCTTTTATTATGAATTAATTACCATCATGGATATAGACGGACACAGAAGGATCGCACATGATCACGGCGTCTCAGCTGTGCGGTCTGCTACGGACTAAAGGTTTCTGGTTTGATTGGAGAACACGTTACTGACACGTCATGTTTCATATGTTTGTTTGTTTGTTTGTATTGCGTTTGTATGTGATTGTCTGTTTGTTTGTGTATGGCTTTCATGTTTGCTAACTTTTGGTTTCATTTTCCTTTTGTACACAAGCTCTGACGGTGTTTGCCGTACGGTGCAAGGTGTCTGGATTACAGTGCAAGGTGTTCGGTGTTGCCTTATGGTGTTTGGAATAGGGTGTAAGGTGTTTGATGTAAGATGATGGAGTCAGTGAAGTGAATGCTGCACTCAAAATACATCATGGGAAAACCCCAGTGAGAGAGTCAATCCTGTACTGAAGCAGCTGGAGACCCCCAGACCCAGACTATGAGCTGCTGTAATGCAGAAGAGCGGCTCTATCACAGCGCTGTATTCTTAGACAAGCAGTATTCTGTGTACAACCATCCCGCTGACGGGTGTGTGTGTGTGTGTGTGTGTGTGTGTGTATGTGTTGCTCTCTCCCCCTGAGTGCTGACAGCAAAGCAGCCGGACTCGGGCTCAGATATCAGACCGCAGAGGAAGCGCAGGATCAGTGTTTACGACACACACACACACACACACACTCTCGGTGTGTATGGATGTTTACGTGTTCTGCTTCTGCT